TCTTCTCTTCTAGCGGGCACCCACTTGACATCCACGGACGCATAGTCATCATCAACCGCTTCACTTGTATCTGACAACTCAGCAAAGGAAGCAGCAGCGGGTACAACATCATCATCATCACACCGTACGTCCATGTGTGTAATGCTGCCTGACTGAGACATATCCATGTTATCTACATCCTCTGGCAATAATGATTGTGCATCACTCATTTCTTCCAACTGATGTGTAAATAACTCCTCTGACATACCAAATGAAGCTGCTGTGGTGCTAGTGTTGGTGGTGGCAGCAGGCGGGCGAGTAGTAACTTGAAAGGTGCCCGAAGCTAAGCTGGAGGAGGATGGTGCGTCAAGGTTCCGAGCGGAAGCTGTAGAAGATTGGGTGTCCTGTGTTAGCCAGTCAACTATGTCCTCAGAACTTTTCGAGTTCAGGGTATGTGGCCTCTGAACATTGGGCATTATTCTAGGGTCAAAGGGAATCACAGCACCACGACCACAACGGTCCCTGCGGGGTGGCCTGCCTCTGTCTGTCATTTTTTTTTCGATTAGCCATCAATAAAATGCAATGTGTTCATTGTCCATAACATACGACTGCCCATACCATAACCCCACCACCACATGGGCCACTCGATCCACAACATTGAAATCAGCAAACCGCTCACCCTCACAACGCCATACACACTGTCTGCCATCTGCCCAGTACAGTGAAAACCGGGATTCATCCATGAAGAGAACACCTCTCCAAAGTGCCAGACGCCATCAAATGTGAGCAGTTGCCCACTCAAGTTGGTTACGACGACGAACTGCAGTCAGGTCGAGACCCCGATGAGGACGACCGCATGCAGATGAGCTTCCCTGACACGGTTTCTGACAGTTTTTGCAGAAACTCTTTGGTTATGCAAACTGATTGTTGACGCAGCCGTCCGGGTGGCTGGTCTCAGACGATCTTGGAGGTGAAGATGCTGGATGTGGAGGTCCTGGGCTGGTGTGGTTACACGTGGTCTGCGGTTGTGAGGCACGTTGGATGTACTGGAAAATTCTCTGAAATGCCTTTGGAGACGGCTTATGGTAGAGAAATGAACATTCAATCCACGGGCAACAACTCTGGTGGACATTCCTGCAGTCAGCATGCCAATTGCATGCTCCCTCAAAACTTGCAACATCTGTGGCATTGTGCTGTGTGATAAAACTGCACATTTTAGAGTGGCCATTTATTGTGGCCAGCCTAAGGCACACCTTTGCAATAATTATGCTGTCTAATCAGCATCTTGATATGCAACACCTGTGAAGTGGATGGATTATCTAAGCAAAGGAGAAGTGCTCACTAACTGTAGCGGTACTTACCTTATCCGGGGGCCGGCCGAGGTCCACAGTTCCCGCCGCGTGCGGCCTCGCTCGGGGCTCGGATGACGGCGTGCACTGACCGCGGGATGCGGTCACGTGTCCCGCCTAGCTCCAAGAGTGCATCTCAGGCACACTCTTAAAGGGGAAGTGGGAGCAGAAAACTAAAACAGTCTCCCATTGGCCCCTGTCATCCCACATTCCCCATACACTCACATTTTGGGGGCGTGGATATGACAGGAGCCAATCAAATTAAATGTAAGGGTTGCAAATTACCTCTCCCTTAACTCCCTGCCCTATCGTGGTTTCTGTTTCAGTTCCCTTTAGCGCTTGTTGTGTTGAGTTGTGATTTTTCGTACTTGACCTTGGCTTTGTATCTGACTCCGTTTATCTCTTTATCCCTGTTTTGTCTTGTTTGCCGGCTTACTGATTACTGTATACCAGACCTTGGCTAGTTCTTGTTTTCGCTGTCTCTTTGTACCCTTGACCTCGGATCGTTCCTGACTCTGTATTTCTCTCCTCTACGTCGAGTCCGGCCATTCTAAGGTCCGGTAAGACGTATCTGCTCTATATTGTCAATTGTTGGACTAAATCTTGTGAGTTGGGGTAAACTACCGTAACACTAACACAGATTTAGACAGATTTGTGAAAATGTTTGAGAGAAATAGGCCCTTTTGTGTACATAGAAAAAGTCTTAGATCTCTTAGATCTCTCTCATGAAAAATAGGGGCAAAAACAAAAGTGTTCCGTTTTTAATTTTGATCAGTGTATATATTATAGACTAGCATAGCATAAAAAAACAGTAAAGTAAAAAGTATAACTAAGGAGATATGTCATGTCTGTGGTTCATACTTTTAATATTTATTTATAATTTTTTATATTAGTTGATATTTGTATTATTATGTATTTGGTCTTATCTCTAGTGGCAACCAGTTGTGGTATTGGCTATTCCTCCTAATAATTCATTATTTTTATAGGCATTACATTTGCACCATATACTTTAAAAATAAATGCACTTTCTTTTTAATTGTTTTGCAAACAGTTTCACGATTAGCCAGTAATTGTAGGTCTTTTTTTTACTTTTAGTTGTTAAAGGAGAGAGAGTGGTGGTCTTCTTAAATGTGTCAGAGCCCCTTGACTGTGTTGAGGCCCTGCAGCCATTTTATATGCAAATAGGTTTTGTTACTTTTGTGTTGTCAACCTCCACCTTCCATAAATAAGGTTGGGGAGAGGAGAGTGGGTTGACTGGAGTACTTTCCTTTTGCTGAGGGTCTCTTGGGCAAGTATACTTTGCCACATTCACAGCCTCACCCACTTGATATAATGTAAGAATAGGGGAATGTCCCTGAATTAAAACGGAATCCTGATACATGTATATTTTTATTTGTACAAATATGGGTTAATTAAAATGCAATTCTTAACCTGTTCCTAAATAAATGCCAAATTCCTAAACTTCATAAAAAACACAGAAATACAGAGTAAACCACGCCCAGTGTACATGTACAAAATGTTATACGTACATAGGTCTTCAAGTAATTGTACACAATTGACCTAAAAAATAAAAATAAAAGATAAAAACATAGTGCAGCACAATATGTAAAGTGTATATGTGGTAGGTAATCTTGAGTCACTTCCACTCACATTTTTTTTGGAGCTAACTTTGGAGCTCTGCTGGTTTGCACATGGATGGAATAATCACTGTCTAAGGATGTATAATGAGGCAGTCGCCACAAATGCTTCGAATAAAGTGCAGTATGCGGGATATATGTGGAGGTAAATATAGGAAGAAACTCCAATGGTGAAGTAAGTGCTGATGGAAAATCAAAGGAATAAACAAAGTAACGTACTTACATTAACTAGAACAGAACCTGCTCTAGTGTAAACAGCAATGGTGGAATAATCCCCACCTAATGATATGATGGTACCAGGGAGCAGTTGGCAAATAAATAAAAAGATATATATATATATATAAATTCCAACATTTCCTTGCACTGCAGGCTGAAGATAATATAGATATGTATACTTAATTTCACTGGGTGCTGGGCCGAGGTCATCAAAAATGCAGAGTTCAAATTGATGGTCCACACTCACGATTTCAATAAAATATAACTTTTATTAGTTACATTTAAAAAGGTGCCAATAATTCATTGATGTTTCAGTCCCGGTTCGGGACTTTCCTCAGGACAGCAGGACAGCAGGACAGCTGTCCTGAGGAAAGTCCCGAAACGAGACTGAAACGTTGATGAATTATTGGCACCTTTTTTAAATGTAACTAATAAAAGTTATATTTTATTGAAATCGTGAGTGCGGACCATCAATTTGAACACTCTCTCTTTCTCTCTATCTATCTATCTATATATATATATATATATAGTATATATATATATGCATACACTGCTCTAAAAAATAAAGGGAACACTTAAACAACACAATGTAACTCCAAGTCAATCACACTTCTGTGAAATCAAACTGTCCACTTAGGAAGCAACACTGAGTGACAATCAATTTCACATGCTGTTGTGCAAATGGGATAGACAACAGGTGGAAATTATAGACAATTAGCAAGAGACCCTCAATAAAGGAGTGGTTCTGCAGGTGGTGACCGCAGACCACTTCTCAGTTCCTATGCTTTCTGGCTGATGTTTTGGTCACTTTTGAATGCTGGCGGTGCTTTCACTCTAGTGGTAGCCAGGGCCGGATTAACATAGGGGCTGATGGAGCTGCAGCTCCAGGCCCAGGCCCATGGAATAGGCCCATTTAAAAAAAATTTTTTTTACACAATACTCTTAGGTTTGCCACCTGGCTGGTATTGTACTGGCACAGCCGGTATTTGAGTCTGCCTGGCCGTGCCGGTATTGCAGTAATACCAGCAATACAAATGCAGATAATTTTCTCAGAATAAATGGAAATTACTCTGCAATACCAGCACCGGCCAGTAGGGGTCAGTGTGTGTGTGGAGAGAGGCAGGGATAGGAAGTTCCAGAATATCCCTGCCTCTCTCTACTACTCACTGATCCATGGGGGAGCAGCAACACAGCACAGAGTCCAGACAGCAGCTCAGGTAAGTAAGGGATGGGGGGAAAGGGGACACTGAGGCAGGGGGACATGGGGACACTGAGACACTAGGGGACATATGGGGACACTGAGACACTAGGGGACACAGACACTAGGGGACAATGAGACAACATAGGGACACTTGGGGACACTGGAAAACATAGGGACACTAGGGGACACTGAGACACTAGGGGATATATTGGGACACTGAGACACTAGGGGACACTGAGACACTAGGACACATGGGGACACAGACACTGGGAGACCTGGGGACACAGACACTTGGGCACACTGGAAAACATGGGGACACTGAGACACTTGGGGACACTGAGACACATGGGGATACTGTGAGACATAGGGACATTGGGAGACATAGGGACACTGAGACACTATGTTCCCATGTCCCCCAGCCAGTGTCCCTAGTGTCTCAGTGTCCCCAAGTCTCCCAGTGTCTGTGTCCCATATCTCTCAGTGTGCCTAGTGTCCCCATGTGTCCCAGTGTCCCTATATGTCCCAGTGTCCCCATGTCTATGTCCACAACTGTCCCCATGTCTCCCAGTGTCCCCTAGTCTCCCAGTGTCCCCAAATGTCTGTCTCTCAGCCAGTGTCCCATAGTCTCCCAGTATCCCCTAGTCTCTCAGTGTCTGTGTCCCTAGTGTCTTAGTCTCCCCAAATGTTTCAGTGTCCCCATGTCTCCCAGTGTCTGTGTTCCTAGTGTCTCAGCATGCCTGGTGTCCCCATGTCTCCCAGTGTCCCTATATGTCCCAGTGTCCCCATGTCTATGTCCACAACTGTCCCCATGTCTCCCAGTGTCCCCTAGTCTCCCAGTGTCCCCAAGTGTCTGTCTCCCAGTGTCCCCTAGTCTCCCAGTGTCTGTGTTCCCATGTCTCTGTGTCCCTAGAGTCTTAGTGTCCCCATTTCTCCCAGTTTCCCTAAATGTCTCAGTGTCCCCATGTCTCTGTGTCCCCGGGTCTCTCAGTGTCCCCAGTATCCTTGTGACATGGGGACACACTGGGACATTGGGAGAAATGGGGACACAGACACTGGGAGACTAGGGGACTGGGTGACATGGGGACACTGTGATACATAGGGACACTGAGACACTAGGTGACTTGTGAGACTGAGACACTGGGAGCAATCCATCTATACAGCAGAATCAAACTGTGAATAGTTTGTTGGTGATTTTACAGAATTTTCTCTGCTGTCACTCCTTGTGATTTACATCATGTGATGTCACGCATAACTAATTAATTATACAAATGATTAAGGCTGGTATTTTTTTCCAAGAAAGGTGGCAACCTTAACTACTCTTCACATATTCTTGCCTAAAGGAGCACTATAGGGTCAGTAACACAATCATGTATTTCTGACCCTATTATGTTAAAACCACCACCCTGGCCCCTTCTTGCCTCCCTAAATATAGTAAAATATTACTTGTATTCAAGTCTGCAGCTGCTGGCTCAGAAGTGGTAGTCTGAGCAAATTACAATACTTCCCCATAGGATTGGCTGAGACTGTCAACTAGGCAGAGCCAGTACAAGTCCAACATAGCCCTGGCCAATCAGCATCTCCTCATAAAGATAAATTGAATCAATGCATCTCTATGAGGAAAGTTCAGTGTCTGCTTGCAGAGGGTGGAGACACTGAATGGCAGTGCTGCAGACTAGGCAGTACTGCCCCAGGAAGCACCTCTAGCAGCCATCTAAGGAGTGGCCAGTGGAGTTATTTTCTCTGAAAAGACAGTGTTTACTGCAAAAAGCCTGAATGGAATGATTCTACTTACTAGAACAAATACAATAAGCTGTAGTTGTTCTGGTGACTATAGTGTCCCTTTAGGTTTGGAAGCTTAAGAGGGATGTATGGGAACAAAACTTGTGTGGACTGGCTGACATTAAAATTAGTTCAGGTAATGCAGACGTTGGTCTCTGTGGCATGTCCCCTTTCTTCTACACTCACTACATACACCTTTTCTCTGTCTCTGACTACAAACCAGGAACTTCTGCCTGCTAGTAAGAAGGTAAGGAGACAAGTGGACCAGCGAGTGCTAGGGGAAAGTCCTTAGAAAGCATGGAGTGAGCGCATTATTAGACGCATTTATGTCAAGCTCAAGGTGCTGCCTGCATAGTATGCCCTTAGTTGGACAGCCTGCAGGATTGGCAGGCAGCCTGACATGCATTCATGCCAGGCTGACCTTCCAATTCTTTGGACAAACATACCCCCTTTTTGGCAGGTCTTGTCACGTGATTCGTGCCAGTGGCACACCCTTTTACCCCGACCATTGACTTCCTGCTTCACTGGACACTGCTGTTAGGGGGTATGGATTTACTTGAAAGATGAAAGCATACATTAGAGAGATTAGCATAGAGTATGTGTTTTCTTATAGCTGCATTCTATGAGTTTCCCTCCAGCACCATCTCCATCAGATATATGACGCTTGGGAGGTATGACTGTTTTAGTGTTTTTGATCGATAAGATTCCGTAATTAGGCCCATCATAATGGTCAGCACCAGGCCCACTGTGCTCTTAATCCGGCCCTGGTGGTAGCATGAGACGGAGTCTACAACCCACACAAGTGGCTCAGATAGTGCAGCTCATCCAGGATGTCACATCAATGCGAGCTGTGGCAAGAAGGTTTGCTGTGTCTGTCAGCGTAGCATCCAGAGCATGGAGGCGCTACCAGGAGGCAGACCAGTACATCAGGAGACGTGGAGGAGGCCGTAGGAGAGCAACAACCCAGCAGCAGGACCGCTACCTCCGCCTTTGTGCAAGGAGGAACAGGAGGAGCACTGCCTGAGCCCTGCAAAATCACCTCCAGCAGGCCACAAATGTGCATGTGTCTCCTCAAATGGTCAGGAAAAGACTCCATGAGGGTGGCATGAGGGCCCTACGTCCACAGGTGGGGGTTGTGCTTACAGCCCAACACCGTGCAGGACGTTTGGCATTTGCCAGAGAACACCAAGATTGGCAAATTCACCACTGGCCCCCTGTGCTCTTCACAGATGAAAGCAGGTTCACACTGAGCACATATGACAGATGTGACAGAGTCTGGAAACGCCGTGGAGAACGTTTTGCTGCCTGCAACATCCTCCAGCATGACCGGTTTAGCAGTGGGTCAGTGTAACGGGCCGTTTTGCACACAAAAGGTTAAAAACCGTTTAGGCGATATTCCCCTTTCAGATGCACAGACAGCTACGGCAAGCACCAATCTCCCAAACTGCAAACTACACGAATTCTCCAACTCCTGAACAGGAAACTCACGAATACTGGAAACAGCTGAACAGGAAAAGCATACAATCAGCTTACACTCCTGGCAATCAAACTGGAACAGCATACAATAACTCCTTCCCCAATAATGAGACAACACTTCACTTTGAGGGTTAAGCAGGAACTGATTTACTGGGGCTAACTGTTCGGCTTTTATGCAGGTCTCCCACCTGGTGGACACTCCCCCAGGGGACCAAATGGGAGACTGTGACACAAAGGGTAAAAGGACCAATCACAGACTTACACATTTCAACCATCCCACAATGCATCACAATCCCTCCTCTCTGCTCTGGAGATAATTGAGAAGTAATTCAATTATCTCCAAAGACAGAGCAAAACTCCATTAACCACATGGCAGAAAACAAACAGTAAAAGACATAAAATTACCTACAGTTACATTCAGTACATAAAACATATACGTTCTACATATCCCCAGATAGCTCAGGTCTGAGCGCACATTATTAAGTGAATGGCGCTCAGACCACACGAATACAGTTTAATCGCCATGGAGCCAAAGTCTTTACACAGATAGTTTCATGCGAATGGGCTCCATGGGATTCCTATCTGGGGCACAACACACTCAAACAAATCTACCGAACACCCGGCAGAAAAGCAGTCTTTTCTGCAGGGAAAAAAATGTCTTTTAACATGGGGCCATAGTCCAAAGGCAGCATGCGAGCAACCAGGCTTCTCCAGTGTACAGTGGCGAGGTTGCTTTCGCCACAGTCAGTAATGGTGTGGGCTGGCATTTCTTTGGGGGGCCGCACAGCCATTCATGTGCTCACCAGAGGTAGCCTGACTACCATTAGGTACCGAAATGAGATCCTCAGACCTCTTGTGAGACCATATGCTGGTGCAGTTGGCTCTGGGTTCCTCCTAATGCAAGACAATGCTAGACCTCATGTGGCTTGAGTGTGTCAGCAGTTCCTTCAAGACAAAGGCATTGATGCTATGGACTGGCCCACCCGTTCCCCAGACCTGAATCCAATTGAGCACATCTGGGACACCATGTCTCGCTCCATCTACCAACGTCATGTTGCACCACAGACTGTCCAGGAGTTGGCAGATGCTTTAGTCCAGGTCTGGGAGGAGATCCCTCAGGAGACCATCCGCCACCTCATCAGGAGCATGCACAGGCATTGTAGGGAGGTCATACAGACACGTGGAGGCCACACACACTACTGAGCCTCATTTTCACTTGTTTTAAGGACATTACAACAAAGTTGGATCAGCCTGTAGTGAGTTTTTCCACTTTAATTTTGAGTGTGACTCCAAATCCAGACCTCCATGGGTTGAAAAATGTGATTTCCATTTTTTAATTTTTGTGTGATTTTGTTGTCAGCACATTCAACTATGTAAAGAACAAAGTATTTCAGAAGAATATTTAATTCATTCATATCTAGGATGTGTTATTTTTGTGTTCCCTTTATTTTTTTGAGCAGTATATATATATATATATATATATATACATATATATAAAATACACTTTTTATTTTACAAACAAAAAAAACGATAAAACAGTATAAAATACTTATAGGAGTTCCATTTGAATAATTTCACCTCTCGAAGGCTTCTTCAGAAGTGTGGTTAAATCTTTGTAAAGTTCTGTTTATATATGATAGTCTTGGTTGAAGATAGCTACCTGGTGAAAATAATTGTTGGCTTCTTGTAACCATGCTGGAACGTTCACGTCATACCGGAAGTGACACGGCAGTTAACTGACATTGGTAGTCTTAATGGACTTAATGTGTGTCAGTCTGGAAAGCATACATCACCAAAATGGCATTGTTGCGTTCCAATCTTTGTTGGTGTGGGTCCTTCCAACATCAGGGGCTAGAGATGTGTATAGGGTATTCCTTAGATAAGTCCCACCTCTTTAGGGAATGTCTTTATCTCTGTTTAATCACTGGGGGGCATAGCATTACTGAGGAAGTGATGCGACTCGAGGTCTTCAAATACAGTACATACCTAGGAAATGGTTCAAAAGCCATAATGGAAAAGGAAAAAAAAAAAAAGATGGAAAATATATATATATAAGAAGTGGTAAAATGTAGAAATGTATACCTCTTATATAACGAAAATAGGTTTATGAAATATAGATATCTCTTGGGGGATAACTCTATACATATTAACCTTGAGTGTAAAGGGCCATAAATGTGTGCTTAACTCATATTTAGAAAAAGGAAATGGATGAACGTCCGTTTAAAAAAGGAAGAAATATTAATTCTAATGTCAATCCTGGGTATCAAAGAGATTAAAAATAAAGTAAAAGCTATATGTATAAAACATATTTATAAAAAAAAAATGGAATAAAACATGTGAGCTAGAATATAGAAAAAAATCATTACTAAAAAATTATATAATTATAAAAAATTAAATAAATCAAATTCTGTTTTTAAACCATTAGGATACAAAGTATCCATATGGTAAACCAATTCCATTTCTTTTCTCTCCAATCTTTTTGATAAAATCTCCTCCCCTCCAGTGGTTTTTTACAATTGCAATATGAGTGAATGTGAGATGTCTAGGATTATTATCATGCATACAGAAATGTGATGATACAGATTGATTCTTAAATCCTTTGTCAATGTTTCTACAGAGCTCTGCAATTCTCATTTTCAGTGACTTGATATTTTGTCCTATATATTGGAGGCCACATTGGCACTCCAATAGATAGATTACATTTCTTTGTACGGTTCATAAAAAACAGACCTGCAGAAATGATTAGAAAATATTGACAAATTATGATTTAAATGTCTACTTTCATGACTAATTTTAAAATGGACCTCCATATAGTTTTTAGCAGGCCAACTGCAATTTTTGTAAAATGTAATTTACCAGGTAGCTCCCAGGTTATCATATATGAAATAACAAGTAAAAATAAAAGATGGCACAAACTTGTCAAGTATAATTTATAAAATATTGTTTGGGGTCTGCTTGCAATACGAAGATTAAGTACGTAATCACCCAAGATTTTAAACAATATTTTTTTTTTTTAAAGTTTGAATAACTCAGTGATGAAACAGCTGTCTAAATATATCTTAATATATCTACATAAAAGGAGAGAACTTTTGCAAGGTCCATCTCACTATTGAAACTCTTCACACTTATCAGCAATATATTTTACTATTTTTTATTGTTATCTTCATAAGGCTGTATCTAAATAAATGATAGCAAAATATTATCCTCAATGGTTTACATAGAAATGCTGTAAATATGTACTTAGCGGATAATATTTTCATGACTCATAAATGGCATATTTGATGTGCGTTAGTACAAATGTGAAATTATCTATTTTCATACCATCAGGGGACTTTTTTTAATTGCCCATCTCCAGTGGCAAAATTATAATGTGGTTATTATAAATTCCATTAACAATAATGCCTTTCATTAATATAATTTTAAATGTACTATTTCTTTGAAAGCATGTGATTGAAGTCTGTTCCCACCTTCATTTGCATATGCAATTTAAAACTGGCTGTTTGCCAACAGTACACATCGTGGGAGGGGGTGTCTATGAAATGGCATATTTATTGTATTATATTTTATTGTAATCTATTAAGAGCACAGAATACTGAAATCACTAAAAGGCTGTAAACAAAGCAAAAATTTCCCTGAAGAACATTTCACTCAGTTTCTATTCTTGCATCTAATAAATACAAACCTAATATATCATTTCTATGGCTGAGGATAAATGAATCAATCAAGAGTGAAAACAGAAATGTGGTAACTGCTAAAGAGAAAATTGCCTGAGGCATTGTCTGCTTTTTTAAATAGGATTCTAATGCTCAAAATCTAAAGATGGATTCTTGTTTAGACATAGTAGTACAGTAAACTAGGATAAAAAATACTTAAACGGTTACTCCAATTACTATGACTTCATCAGTGATTTGAAGT